CTGCGAATCCTACACAGAGTATTGAAGAAGTGGCACTACTCTTTCAAGCTGCAGCAGAAACAGGAGCATCACATCTTTTGATATCAGGGGATTTCAATATGCCGCAAATTGACTGGCACGAATGTTTCTGCTCGGCACCGGCTACACATCTTGCACACCATTTTCTTGCGATGGTGCAGGACTCGTTGCTTTTCCAGCACGTTTTGCATCCAACCAGGTATAGAGAGGGAGACACTCCGAGATGTCTTGACCTTTTATTTACCAATGAAGAGGGGATGCTGTCGGGTCTTAACTATCTCCCAGGTCTCGGCAAAAGTGACCACGTCGTGTTACGTTTCAACGTACACTGCTACACATCTCGAACGTCGTCAGACCAAGTAAGGTTAAATTTCAATCGGGCCAACTTCGACCTGTTAAACGAGAAGATCCGCAATCTGGACTGGCGATGCCTGGCTCATCTAGACATTGAAGAAGGCTTTGAATTCTTCAGAGATACCCTGTCAAGGCTGGTGGCAGCCTGCATCCCCTCAGCTCGTTGTTCCAAGTCCAGGAAGAACATCTACATGAACACGGAGGCACTGAGGATGAAGAAAAAGAAGAACCAGTTGTGGTTGAAGTACTCAATATCGCAGGATCCACTTGATTTGGCCAGGTTCAAGGCATGCAGAAATTCCCTTAGAAGCCTCACCAGGAGCTTGCGTAAAAACTTTGAATCTCAGCTGGCAGCAGATCTAAAGAAGAATCCCAGAGCCTTTTGGCGGTATACGAACTCCAGATTGAAGACGAAGCCGACTCTGGGTGACCTCCGGAACAACACTGGGACACTAGAGAGTAGAGACCACGTTAAGGCAACAATCCTGAACGACTTCTTCGGCTCCGTGTTCACGCAGGAGGAGCTCTCTGAAGTACCTGTTCTCACTGATCGCAGGCCGACACAGGATCTCACCGACATCTCGATAACTCCAGCGGCGGTACAGAGGAAGCTACTAACTCTGAACCCTGCTAGTGCACCGGGACCGGACAACATACACCCACGCGTTCTGCGGGAGACTAGCTCGGCTATCAGCGCTCCACTAGCTGCTCTCTACCGGCGGTCACTCGACACCGGCAAGTTACCACGCGCTTGGTCACTTGGCAGGATTGTGCCCATCTTTAAAAAAGGAGACAAGCAACTGCCCAGCAACTACCGACCGGTGAGCCTGACCTCGGTTGCATGTAAGGTGTTCGAGTCACTGATCCGGGATGAAGTGTATCGGCATTTGACTGACGCACAGCTTCTCTCTGGCAGCCAACATGGGTTTCGTCCTAAGCGTTCATGCAGTTCCCAGTTGATTGAGACACTGAACGACTGGAGTATTGCTCTTGAAGGTCGTCACAGTATCGATGTGATATACCTGGACTTTCAAAAGGCCTTTGACTCGGTCCCTCATCAACGATTGCTGAACAAACTCTGCTGTTACGGCGTCAGAGGTAAACTCTTGAAGTGGATCGAGTCATTTCTGTCAAATCGTTGTCAGCAAGTGGCCGTAAACGGACAACTATCTGAGTGGAAGCAGGTAGCGAGTGGCGTTCCCCAGGGTTCGGTCTTGGGTCCGCTTCTCTTCCTGCTGTTTGTGAACGACCTGCCCGACCTGGTTCGATCGTCAATAAAGCTATTTGCAGACGACACCAAGCTTTACGCTAGTGTGTCCACACTTGGCGATGCGGCGATGATTCAGGCTGACCTTGATGCTCTCGTTCATTGGTCGGAGACTTGGCAGATGCCGTTCAATGAGCACAAGTGCAAGGTCCTTCACCTAGGTCACAGGCGACTTGACAACCAGTACACTATGAGGGATGTCCTCCTTAGTGCCACCGAAGAAGAGAAGGACTTGGGTGTCCTTATCGACTCCGACCTGAAGTTCAGGAGGCATGCTTCAGCAGCTGTAAGAAAAGCCACTCAAATGTTAGCGGTGATACGACGCTCCTTCGTGCTTCTCGATCAGCAAACAGTGCCACTGTTGTACAAATGCCTAGTGAGACCTCATTTGGAGTACGGCAACCTTGTATGGGGCCCGCACAACAGAGCTGACCAGAAACTCGTTGAAAGAGTTCAACGTAGAGCTACTCGGCTGGTAGCAAGTCTCCGTCAACTGCCCTACGAAGACCGACTTAGGACTCTGAAGTTGCCGTCTCTATACTACAGGCGAAGAAGAGGCGACATGATAGCGACCTACCAGATCTTCCATGGCGGCATAGATGTGGATCCAACCAGTTTATTCACGCTCGCTACCGACACTTCTACGAGAGGCCACCAGTTCAAGATCCGGAAAGTCCCAGCTTCAAGCAGAGTCAGGAGGTCAGCTTTTGCCATTCGTGTGGTAAACGACTGGAATGGGCTGCCGGCCGAGGTTGTTGGCTCTCCTTCGCTGAACGTATTCAAAAGCCGCCTGGACGCCCACTGGGCTTCGCTTCAGTATCTGGTGCCTGACACTGATTGAGTCGAGTCAAAACGGAACACATGAGTTCGATGAGAGCGGGACCTCCAGGCCTTAGTGCCTTTACAATATCCCGATCACTTTAAGACTAAGACTTAAGACTTATTTAGGTTAAATATTTTTTTCAAGACATTAAGATATTAATAATTTAATCATGCTGCTTATTCTAGTAAGTAGTAGGTACCTTTTTCTCCACCTTGTTGTGATGAAGGCTAAAGGTCAAGCTACACGGGACACTTTTTCGGTTTTTGATTTTTCGGTTTTTCGCTTTTTCGGTTCGATTTATCGCTTTTTCGCGTCGGTTTTTCGATTTTTCGATTTATCGCTTCGTGACTTGAGTTTTTCGAGTTTCATTGATTTTTGTTTAGTTGGAACGCGCTGTGCATTGTGCAACCGCCAGCTCTTTTTATTTTGTTTGCAACCAGTGCAATGCGTTGGTCGCAGTTTTGCCTAGGGGCTTTAGGGGTCTGTTTTGTTGTCTGTTTTAACAGATGGAAATTACTTAAAATAGATCTCGTCTGTTTTGTAGTAGGAAATTGGCTTGACTAAACTTCCAGCAGCTACTAACCGGCGCCCCGCTGCTCCTGGATTTCCACGCCCTGCTGGTAGGGGAAACAACCCTTCTAACTTGGCTCCTGAGCCACGTAGCGACACGCCGTAGGCGACACTTGAAAAAGCTAAAAAAAATAAGGAACAAACTGCTTCGGCCATTTTTAGGTCAGGTGTAGGCCAAAGGGCAGGTCACCAAAGGTCATCGAAGGTAAAATGTCGCCAATATCTACAGGTCAAACTTCGACAATTTTCGACAAATCGGTCCATAGCTCAGGAATGGATAGAGCTGTAGCACCACGGGGCGCGGAGAGGCGCAATCAAACGTTCTTTTAACGTTCATCCGCTAGCATGTCCTCAGATTTGACGTAAGGTCCACGGTTTATCCTGCAGGGGCATAAACGTCCAAAATAGACGACTCTGCAAAAACAGTTTTTCCGCAATAACTTTTGACTCTAAACTTGCACGAGCTTTCCTTCACCAGAAACGTGTTTCTCTGGTCGAGACGCTTCGAATGAACCTTAAGCTAACTGGACTGGTCTAGGTCATGACCTGGCCGGAAAGTTCGTGATACATATCAGTCGATTTGTATCGTCCAGTGGAACACATCGAATGTGTTTTCATCGCTCTATAGTAGCATGCCTTTACCGAAATTTATTACCGAAAATTGTGCATACCTTTCGCGACCTGATATGACCTCAGGGCATAACAAGGGGTCACGGGTGCCATATTCCGGTTCATTGTGTCATGTGTACCTACTTGCATAGGCGTAGGAACAGCTGGAACATTCTGAGTGCAGAAATCCAACCATCGCCTGTGGAGCTGGGGGGAGCGGCACCGGGTATCTTATTCTCTCTCTATTTTGGAATGTATATCGCCACCGATAAAAACGGTTTCATGCGGGAGGCTCATTGCGATCTTCGAGGGGTGTACGCAGTAGCGGCGGAACACCTTCAATTAAAAGGGATGAATTGACCACATCTGGATGAATTTCAGGTCGAAGTCAGGTCAAGGTCAGGTCAAGTGAGGTCAAATTTTGAAGTTGGTTGTTAAGACCTACAAAGGTGTCTGTCTGATGCAGTTTTTCACGGCGAATCGAATGGTGCTATTTTGTTTCCGTACGAGGTCTAGAACTTCCAGAAAATTCACTTGTCAAAAATTGTGTGTGTCGTGACGTCATAAAATTTTGAAACTCTCGTATTTTCGAACCGATTCTTCTAAAAATTGGTAAGTTGGTGCACATAGACCACTTCTCTGACATATATTTCGCTTTTTTCGATACACTAAAAATTTTGGATTTATAATTATTTTCCCAAACAAGTCAGTTTTTTTGAAGAAAAAAGTTTTGGGCCAAAATCAAAAATTTTCAAAAAACCGAGATAGCCATTTGATAGACGAAGTAGAATCACGTATAGCCTAATTGTTACGTCTTGATTCCTTTAAAAATGGAGATGTTAGCGGCGTTTGAAATGTTGCCGTTTTTAGGCGAAAATGGCGGACATGACGTCACCTAAACGTCATTTTCTCAAAAATTTTCCGATGGATTTCGCTAAAATTTTCAGGCAACGTGTTAAATTGATGTATGATAAGGTACTGAAAGTTTGACGTCGCTGGTGTAACGCGTTTAGAAGTTATTGGCGAAAAACGGGAGGGGGCAGATTCTGCCCCTCCCCCCCAGCGGGGCGCGGGCTAGCAGGGCGCGGCTAGAAGCATGATGAACAGATTTTACAAAAGATGAAATAAATACGTGCATATATCTCGCATAATTAACCGCTATTCAATCCTTTCACGTGGATAATATGTGCACTGCATACCTACACTGAAATACTATTGAGCGATTACGTTCCTTCCTTTCCATTAGGAGTACCGAAATGTGAATCGTCGGAAACATGCATCAGTATCACCACATCGTCACGTGCTGAAGCCGAAAAAGTCAAGATTACTTGGAAAAGCTGATTGTCGATCCAAACTTTTGGGTTGGATGAGTCGCTTCGTTTTTTCGCTTTTTCGATTTTTAGAGTCGCTTTTTCGCTTTTTAGAGTCGTTTTTTCGATTTTTCGCGTCGCTTTTTCGAGTTGCTGATTTCGTTTTTTCGGTTTCGCTGCCGTGGAGCTACACCAATGTTATCAAGTGAAGCTGATCGTCTACTGAAGCCGAAAAAGCGAAAAAACGAAACGAAAAACCGAAAAAGTGTGCCGTGGAGCCTGTACTTAACATTTGTGCTTGTGTTTATGCATCATTCAATGTTAAACTTGCACCTACATAGCAGAAGCTCACCAATTATCATTGATGACTCTAGAAAACCATAATTAAGTTTGAAAATCACTTAATAGCAAAACATTGCTGATATGAATACTAATAGTAGTCCAAACACCACTACACAAATACATTCTGGAAATGCCTATTGTTTGCTAACATTTGTCAACCTGATTTTGATTCACTGGTGATAAGCTGCACTACAAATACTTTGAGGTAGCAACTGAGCATGTTTTCTTTTCTGTATGAAGCAGACATACTGCTCCATTTTGATGTTAAATTTTGAATGCTGATCTTTTTTAGGGTTATTCCAGACCTTAAAATAATTTGAACTGAAGGGAAAGCTCATGCTCATGATATCTACCTACCTAACTTTACCAGAGGAATTCAGTAAATAAGATAGTTAAAAAATACACTTCATCTTACTGTGCTTGTGAGAATGTGCTAACTTCGTCAGAATGACTCCCTGCATCCTAGTAATAAACGCAACACATGCTGTGAAAATTTCTGCCACCATTGGAAATAAAAGTGAAGTTGACTTGGTAAGGAGGTCAGTGAAATAACCTTTGATTGTCTCTACTCTCTCATAGAAGTGTACTAGGCAATAGGGGTGAAATACATAACAGAGTAAAAACATGTGATGCACAGGGATACCACTCTCTCAAATACAGCAGGTTAGTTCTTTTGGGAAGCCTAAAATTTATATCCGGCTGCTAAAGAGACAGTCAGTGTAGTAGAGTGACAGATACTTTCCAGTTTTGATAAATAGGTACAATTATAATATTTTACCAAAAGGAATGAAACAGCTAGGTCCTGTCGAATGGCTGACGGTATGGCAGGCTGTTTGACTGCCATTGACCAGGGACCATCAGGGCTGCAGTGTTGGCTGAAACCACGCTGATTTACCCCGCGTTCGATGTCTCTCGGACGACGAAGATTCTATGCCATCCGGCCAATCACATTCCACAGCCGCAGCCGAGCCCCCGCTGACCTTGAACGGGATTGGCCGGACGACGTAGAATCTTCGCCGTCCGAGAGACATCGAACGCGGGGTTAGGCTGAGACTCAGGTGGTGAATACACCAGGCCCCTGGTCAGCTGACTGCTGGTACCATGTGTAGTTGATGTTCCACGAATCTATGTATGTGTATGTGCAAGGCTGTGCCTGGTGTCTGACCCATGCTGGTGTTGCAGGGGTCCCTAGCTGGCCGGGCTGTGGCAGCGCCAAGAAGCTTCCACTTCACGATCGAGGGCCGCCAGACCAGCGGCAATGTGTCGCGCTCAGCTCAGGTGAGGGCCGGCGCCGCGCTGCCGGCCGCAGACGGTCTGACTGCGCCGCTCCCGCGGTAGGGAATGTGCCGATCCAGGCGCGGCTATGAGTGACTGCCAGTCGGTTCCTCTGAATCTGCTGCTGCGCGGGCTGGGCCTGCTGACCTCTGTCGCCTTGCTGTGCTGTACATACGCCGGTCTCAGCCGGTCGGGGTCTGTGTGTGTCCGGCAGTGCCGTGCTGTGCTGTGCTGTGCTGTGCTGTGCTGTACTGTGCTGTACATACGCCGGTCTCAGCCGGTCCGTGTCTGTCTGCCGGGCAGATCTCGCCGTGTTGCACTGTGCTGTGTTGTGCTGTGCTGTGCGCCCTGCTCAGCCGGTGGGTGTCTGTATATGTCCGGCAGTGCCGTGCTGTGATGTGATGTGCGCCCTGCTCACCGGGTCGGTGTCTCTGTGTGTGTCCGGCAGATCTCGCGCGACTACCCGGTGGTGGACCACACGTACGACGCCGTGGTGGTGGGCGCCGGCGGCGCCGGGCTGCGCGCCGCCTTCGGCCTCGTCGAGGAGGGCTTCCGCACGGCCGTCATCACCAAACTGTTCCCGACCCGGTCGCACACGGTCGCCGCGCAGGGCGGCATCAACGCCGCGCTGGGCAACATGGAGGATGACAACTGGCAGTGGCACATGTGAGTTCCCGGTGGCGTGGGGTTCCGGGCAGTGGCACATGTGAGTCCCCGGTGGCGTGGGGTTCAGGGCAGTGGCACGTCATGTTAGTTCCCGGACGCGTGTAGTTCAGGCCAGGGTCTGCTGAGACGTTACAGGGAGGGGTGATAGGTACAGCCCTTCCGGCCTGGGACGCTAGGGAGCAGGGGGCGATGTTAGGTCTGTCAGTGCTCTTTGGTTGCCAATTAGGAGTGTGTGGGTGCCAGTTGGAGTTATGTGGGTGTCGGTTGAGAGTATAGAGAGGTGTAGCTACGACTATCCCAGGTCACCCATCGCTCCAACCAGTCCCAGGTCAATGACCGTGCTGTGACACTTGACCTGGGGTCGCTGACGTTGCGGCGCCGCTGGCCGCAGGTACGACACGGTGAAGGGCTCCGACTGGCTGGGCGACCAGGACGCCATCCACTACATGACCCGCGAGGCGCCCAAGGCCGTCATCGAGCTGGAGCACTACGGCATGCCCTTCAGCCGCACCAACGAGGGCAAAATCTACCAGCGCGCCTTCGGCGGACAGTCGCTCAAGTTCGGAAAGGTGCGTCCCCGCCACACCTGCCGCTGGGCTGTTAGGTGTTAGCTACGTTCGTATTGGTATCATCATATTGGTATTCTGAGTCCGATAGTGATTTGCTTCATTAGTGTAAGCCCACTGTTGCTCCAACATGCGCTTATGGATCATCTAGCATATGACGTTATCCGATAACCGGATCACGATCATTTGTTTGCCACACGCCAAATCCAAAATGAACAGGGCTTCCATTCCAAACAGTATCATATAATGAAATTCCGCTGATCTTCCCGGTTGCGTTTCGCTAGCATCAATCGACCTAAACATCGGCACTGGCCTCAGAATAATAAGCTCATGCGCTCATGGATAGCCTGGTTATCTAGATTCGTGCCTTGCGTGACAGTTAACTGTACCAGCTCGGCCCGTGGGTGAGTGGCAGGCCCTGTCGGTGACCAGTCTGTCGGCGATTAGATGTCCGTGACCAGCTGTGTGCCGGCGTCCACAGGGCGGCCAGGCGCACCGCTGCTGCTGCGTGGCCGACCGGACGGGCCACTCGCTGCTGCACACCCTGTACGGACAGTCGCTGCGCTACGACTGCAACTACTTCATCGAGTACTTCGCGCTCGACCTGCTGATGGAGGATGGCGAGTGCCGCGGCGTCATCGCGCTCTGCCTCGAGGACGGCTCGCTGCACCGGTTCCGCGCCAAGAACACGGTCAGTCGACGGCAGAGGCCGGCCCGGGGAGAGTACAGAGACTGATAGCGAGATTCCAGTGTAATATCTACCCTCTGCAGCCCGTCGACTCCATGACCATTATGGCACCCACTGTAGGATCCCCGACCATTCAGGCCCAGGGTAGCATCCAGCTTGAGGTCACTTCTACCTTTTTGATCGTTCTTACTGCTTACGTGATGCTTCATATTTATTTTGATTATTTTGAGCTGTGTCTTTTTTTGCGAACCAGTGTTTTGGAAGAGTTCTCCAGTTCATTTCGATATCATTCTTCAAAGTGGCTGTGTTTGAGGCAGTGCATATGACTGTCACGGTTTAAGCGCTTTTTTTTTAGAGTCGTTACCTACAATACGATCCTCACGTTAGTGACAGTATGCCGGTTGGTGTGTTGTCTGACTGGGACGGGTGTGCGCGGTCAGGTGCTGGCCACCGGCGGCTACGGACGCGCCTACTTCTCGTGTACCAGCGCGCACACGTCGACCGGCGACGGCTCTGCCATGGTCACGCGCGCCGGCCTGGCCAACCAGGACATGGAGTTTGTCCAGTTCCACCCCACTGGTGAGGACGGGGGCCGGGGACCGGGAGACGGAGAGTGTGCCCGGCTCCTGAAGGGAGTCTCAGCCGATACTAGAGCCGATGTAATGGAACCAGGTTGGAATAGATCACCGCTGTCGAGTGTTACCCCACCCAGTCCTATAACGGTGCCACACAGACGGATCAGACGATATTAAACGGAGACATGGGCAGGGACGAGCCGGCGCTCGGCGAATTACTGCTGTCACTCCGTCGGTGACACCTCCCGTCCCCAAGGCGACCTGTCAGTGGCCCCACCCCATCCGTCGGTGACCGCTCCCCCTCCCCCCGTCAGGTATTTACGGCGCCGGCTGCCTGATCACTGAGGGCTGCCGCGGCGAGGGCGGCTACCTCATCAACTCGGAGGGCGAGCGCTTCATGGAGCGCTACGCGCCCGTCGCCAAGGACCTGGCCTCGCGCGACGTCGTCTCGCGCAGTATGACCATCGAGATCCGCGAGGGCAGGTGAGGGCTGCGGCGGACCGGACGGCCGACGGGGTCTGCCGGCGCGGGCAGACAGTCGGGGTGTGGTGGCCGGGGCCAGTGACGCGGCAGGCGCGCGGGCGCTGGCATCCATCTCCTGACGATGTTATGTAACGAGGCTTGGTCACCACAAAAACAAGCTGTCACCCAGTTTTTGTGGGGATGGGAGAGCTGGGAATGAGACCTCTGCCAAATGTATGACGTGGTTCATCAGCGGGTAGGTAGTGTCGTATCATGTACTACTCCAAGCCACCCCGAAACTGATCCCTGTTCGGAGTGAAGTGTGTCAATGGGCGCCTGTGTGACGCTGACCTGACCTGTGTGCGCGGTGGGCGGCAGGGGCGTGGGTCCGGAGAAGGACCACGTGTACCTGCAGCTGCACCACCTGCCGCCCGACCAGCTGGCCGCCCGGCTGCCCGGCATCTCCGAGACGGCCATGATCTTCGCCGGCGTGGACGTGACGCGCGAGCCGATCCCCGTGCTGCCGACGGTGCACTACAACATGGGCGGTGTGCCGACCAACTTCCGAGGACAGGTGAGCCGCAGTGGGGCCGACTGTCGAGGATAGGTGAGCCGCAGTGGGGCCGACTGTCGGGGACAGGTGAGCCGCAGTGGGGCCGACTGTCGGGGACAGGTGAGCCGCAGTGGGGCCGACTGTCGGGGACAGGTGAGCCGCAGTGGGGCCGACTGTCGGGGACAGGTGAGCCGCAGTGGGGCCGACTATTTGCGGTCATGTGCCATTGAGCCGTCACTGGTGAGCGGCAGTCGCAGCTGGGACTGCGAGCAGGCCTCTACCTGCCAGTGACCGTACTCTCGCCGGGCTGGACCGTGCTCCCGCCGTGTGTGACCGCCGTGTGTGACCGCCCCCCCCCCCGCCTCTGACCGCCCCCCCCCCCCCCGCTCGTCCAGGTGATCCAGCACGTGAACGGCGAGGACCAGGTGGTGCCGGGCCTGTTCGCCGCCGGAGAGGCCGGCTGCGCCTCCGTGCACGGCGCCAACCGGCTGGGCGCCAACTCGCTGCTGGACCTGGTGGTGTTCGGCCGCGCCTGCGCGCACGCCATCGCCGCCGACCACCGGCCCGGCGACGCCATCGGGCCCGTCAGCGAGGTGAGCGCGTGCCGCCGGCCCCCGCCCCCGCGGACGCCCTCCCCGGCCGAGGGTATTTATAGGCGGGCGCCGTTGGACGTGTGCCCGCCGCCCGCGCGCCCAGCTGTTACACAACCGGCTGGCGGCGGTCGATCGGCGGCCCCCGCCCCGTTACGTAACGGACAAGGTCGCCGTCACCGGGGCGTGTTTTGCCCGTCTCAGCTGCGGGCGCGTTATGCGTTGATAATCGCGATCAAAAGCCGATTTGTTTATTTATGCAATGCCGTTAACAATATTTTAACATGGCCTACGGTTTTCATTTTGCGATTATTTAGTCGAAACGGGATCATCGATTTTAACGATAGCGGGTTTCACTACTCAGTTTGTTTTATTGTCCAGCCAGGCAATTTGTGCCTGACATGTATAATGTAGGGTGATAGACCTACCTACCCTGCTAGTATCCTTGACAATCGGCTGGATCGTGATTCCGGTGGGGCAATCCCACTCCCTCGACACCGTCCCACTGCCTCAGTACCGTCCCGCTTCCTCAGAACCGTCCCACTGCCTCAGTACTGTCCCACGTCTCAGTACAATGCTACTGTCTCATTATGAACCCACTGTGTCAGTTCCAACTCCCTCAGTACCGTCTCACTGTTTCAGTAGGTACGATCTTGCTCCTTCAGGTGTTTCTAGCTTCCGCGTCTGGCTCTGTCCGCCCTCCTGACCTGTTCAGCTGTCTCTGATGACCGGGCACCAGGACAGCAGTTCTGTACCGTCCGTCGCGCAGCCGACCCCGCCGTCCTCCTCGCTAACCCCCGTGTCTGTGTGTGTCTGTGTGTGGTCAGAACGCCGGCGAGTCGTCAGTATCGCTGTTCTGACCCCATGTCTCTGTGACTGTCTGTGTGCGGTCAGAACGCCGGCGAGTCGTCGGTGGCCAACCTGGACACGCTGCGCCACGCCGACGGCACCACGCCCACGGCCAACCTGCGCATGCAGATGCAGAAGACGATGCAGAACCACGCGGCCGTGTTCCGCACCGGCGAGGTGCTCCAGGAGGGCTGCAACAAGATGGCCGAGGTGTACGAGAACATGGAGGACCTCAAGGTGGGTGTGCCGCGCACGGCCGGACGCCGGGGGACGGCGGGCTGACGGGCGGCACGGGCCGACGAACGGACAGGCGGGGTAGGCGGCTGCAGCGGCGGGGACGGGCCGCCGGAGCTAACGGCTGGTGTCCCTTCGAACTGGACGCCAATACGTGTCAACTAGCGGTGCTTGTAACACATCTGACCGCGCGGTGCCTTCCGCAGCTGTCTGACCGCGGCCTGGTCTGGAACACGGACCTGGTCGAGACGCTGGAGCTGCAGAACTGCATGCTGAACGCCATGCAGACCATCTTCTCGGCCGAGGCGCGCAAGGAGTCGCGCGGCGCTCACGCGCGCGAGGACTTCCAGCACCGTATCGACGAGCTGGACTACAGCAAGCCGCTGGAGGGCCAGCAGGAGGTGCCGCTGGAGCAGCACTGGAGGAAGCACACGCTCAGCAAGGTGGACATCGCCACTGGAGAGGTGGGTGACCGGGCGACGACCGGGGCAGCACGGTGCTGAACTAACGCTCTAGGCCATTCACACTCCAGCAACCAAAAGATGTTTTGGATCTTTTTTTATCTTCCTATCCCCACGACCCTAGTTTTTGCTTTTGAATTAGAATGGCATAGATCTTGATGACTTATTCTATGAGTGAATAATGGTCAAGTTCTGGCGAATAAGCCACAATATCAGCTCTGGGGTCGCCTTTGGGATTCGTTCTCGTCCAGTTATCAAATCATGCTGAATACAATACAACAGTTCAATAGCCATTTAGATGCCCTTCGAATTTGGACGTGTTCATGACTTTCCGCCATTACGTAGCATTGATAAGCATGACGTCCGGATGCTATATTGTCTGCAGTGTGACAAAGGGCGCTGTCTGACCGCTGCAGTGTGACAATGGGCGCTGTCTGACTGCTGCAGTGTGACAATGGGCGCTGTCTGACCGCTGCAGTGTGACAATGGGTGCTGTCTGACCGCTGCAGTGTGACAATGGGTGCTGTCTGACCGCTGCAGTGTGACAATGGGTGCTGTCTGACCGCTGCAGTGTGACAATGGGCGCTGTCTGACCGCTGCAGTGTGACAATGGGCGCTGTCTGACCGCTGTAGTGTGACAATGGGTGCTGTCTGACCGCTGTAGTGTGACAATGGGTGCTGTCCGGCCGCTGCAGTGTGACAATGGGTGCTGTCTGACCGCTGCAGTGTGACAATGGGTGCTGTCTGACCGCTGCAGTGTGACAATGGGCGCTGTCTGACCGCTGCAGTGTGACAATGGGCGCTGTCTGACCGCTGCAGTGTGACAATGGGCGCTGTCTGACCGCTGCAGTGTGACAATGGGTGCTGTCCGGCCGTGTGTTATACCCGTCCGCTGGAGGGTGCCGCTGACCGGGCGATACACCCGTCCGCTGGTGGGCGCTGCTGTCTGACCGGGCGATACACCCGTCCGCTGGGGGGCGCCGCTGACCGGGCGATACACCTGCCCGCTGGTGAGCGCTGCTGACGGCGTGCTCCGTTCCAGGTGGAGCTGACATACCGGCCCGTCATCGACCACACGCTGGACGACCGGGAGTGCGCCACCGTGCCGCCGGCCATCCGCTCCTACTAGACGGGCGCGTGCCGTGCGGCCGACCGGCCCGGTCTGCCGCACAGGCCGGGCGGCGGCGCACCGACGGCGCCGGTATTTATGTCAGAGACCATATTGATGTGTTGCGTGTGTAAATACATGACCTCTGTGAAGTTGGGTGAGTGAAAGTGCGATGTGGCTGTTCAGTTGAGACGACTGGCTGGCGCCCAGTCGCACACACGGTGGTATGGCACTTCAGTAGCGACGTTATGGGCTCATTTCAGGTGTGATGTGATATTGTAGATCAGTGAATACATGCTTTAATGCCATCCAACCACACTCGCTGTTTGGTCGAAGCAGACCTTCCCCACATCGGCGGGTTCTTTATGAGTGTGTGACTACTGGTAAGGGGCAGAATAGATTATGACGTGGCCTATTGGCAGGGGGCTGATTTGGATATCGGTGGCTGGTGAAGACAGCGGATGACGGGATGATGCTGGTGAGGGCGTGTGGATCCGCTTTCGGATTCTCGCCGTGCGGGGAATCGTAACTACCCGGTAGTCCTGACTGGGTCCCGCCATCCCCGGAAGTTCTTGCATCATGTAGGTACAGCTAGGTAGTGGCGCGGGCGCAACTGAGGCCGGTACCTGTTTGTATATAGCTACATCTCTGGCTGGCCAAACTAGAATCCTTAACCAAAATTTTAGGTGTCTCTTTTCTTTTCTTGGGTTTGGTTCTTTTCGTAAAATGAGCCCATTTGAGACTTGCAATGACATTAGGGTCTACAAGGGTAAATTCTGGGTGGCCAGCATGGTACCCCGCCAAGGCTAAGCATGTCTCGAGGGACAGGCTACCCAGAAGACCCAGCCTCTCGTGAGCAGCTACCTGCAGCCAACGGGTTTTGGCACTCGGTTCTCATAGTATGAAAAAATTCCGAGTTTGCTTGCTAGGAGTTCCGCAAAAATAAAGCACGCCACCAAGGCCATGCTCTCATTGGAGTTGCTGGATGAGATTCATGAATTGAATTAATGTGAGTCGGATGGTGGCGACCGTTGAGCCCGAACAGGGCCGGATTTTACTGAGGCGTGGAGCCTAAGGGATAAGAATTTGTGCGTCCCGACGATAGATGAGAGTGGCTGCAGGAATACCAAAACATCGTCTTTTATGTCATTTCGTGAAAAAACCGAGGTAAAATTATTCTGAAGTTATACAGGATTTAAAAAAAGGAAAATGGCTTATTGCAACCGTTTTCAGTGCAACTTCCAGAAATCAATGCCAAGGCTAAAATGTAAACCGTAAAGGTGGAGCATTGACCTATAATAGACTAGACACACTTCTTGACTTTTGGTAATGTTCCCCGACGGTGCTGTAAGGGGGGATCGACATGTTCCGAACCTCCACTTATGAAGCTGTTGTATGGCACACATGTCCGGAGACATCCCATGAGGCAGTTCCGTGAGTTTCAAGTTTGTACTCTGTCCCGCTTCTGAAAAACAGGCGCCCGAAAATTGCCGTTCCTCCATAGACTTTACATTGGCTGGCCGCCGGGATCCCCCCTTCCATGCTGTGGCGGTGCTGGAAATGGTGGCGCTAGTGTCGCTAGGCGGGAACGGCTGGCCGGCAGCCGTACGCATGGCAGTAGTGCGTCTAGTCTTGTATAGGTCAATGAGGTGGAGGCAGTGTCGTACTGCGCTGTGGGTAGCGCGTGGCTGGACGGACGGTCCGTGACAATCTATTGATCTGTGGCTGATCTATTAGAGTGTCCGTCCGAGAGCCGTACGACGGCTGACAGAGCCTGGGGGTCGCGAACTGGTGTGGTAATCGTTACGCCCACCTGGGACGCCCGAGTCGGTACGGCACTTGCGGTGTCGTAACCGGATCGGCGGGAACCAGCAGAACGCTGTTGGACCGGCGGTGAAAGTCGGAACCGAGCACTCGCCCACCAGTGGGCGTCTGGTCGAGCAGGTCTACCCGCTAAGGCAGCCTGAGCACGAACCAGTGGCAGGGTCCGATCAATGACCGTGGTCCGACCAGGGTGTCAGCGCAATGGCCAGTCAGAGGCGTCTTTAAGGGCGCAGAAGCCCACCTCGGTCGACTGTGGCCGGTGCAACCTAGTCAGGTCGTTTGTGTGAATCTCCGTGTTCTTCCCTCGCCTCAGAGTAGCCGCTCTTCTCCAAATGCCCGAGCCGTTTTCTATGTGTATTTGTCTTGTAGCGAACAGCAGAGTCGAGAAACGAATTGACAATGTCGCCGAAAGCCGCGGTCATATGCTGGCCGTCCCTAGTACTACCAATATGCCCGCAGGCGCGGCGAGAAACAAGCTCAACGTATGAGTCACCGTCCGGCTGCCGGAAGAGCCCCTACCGCGACCTTTGTTCACAGTCATGACGTCACGACAATGGGCTCCTAAACGTACGGGCAGCGGCCGCCTCAGGGGTGCCGCCGTGACCTTTGCACGACACGTTCTATAGCGTATGGCACAGCGGTTACTAGGAAGGTTGAGGCCAGCGGCTAACAGATTGATTAATAAAGCGGTGACAATATAAATGAAAATGACAACATGAAATGACAAATCGCATAGATGATCCCTACAGTACCCCCTCGCCAGACATGTCGCGGACAAAAGTGACATGGCGATATCTTACCGGAGGTCGTATGACGCGGCCGGAGCGGGTCGTCCGTAGTATCGGCCGAGGCTGCAATGGTGCAGCGTCAGCCCGAGCGACGGCTGCAGGGCGAGTTGGTGCGTCACCGTAGATCAGAAGCTCGGGGCCGCTGGGCTCATTGCTGAGCGGTGGCGCGGCCGGCGGGCCGCTGGACTGAGTACCGTGCGGCTGCACAGTCGGCAGGTCAGACTGTCGATGACCGGATTCGTCTGGCGTCTCCAGGAAGGCGGCCTTACACCGGTCGATGCTGATGACCTCCTTTTTCTGTCGACGGTCGATGGTGATGGTTTTGGTGGTCCTTTCGGTAACCGGGAACGGTCCGTCGTATGGAGCGTCCAGCGGGTAGCGGTGACAGTCCCTGCGCACGAAGACGTGTGTCGCCGTCTGGAGTGCCGTCGGGACGTACGTGGCGCGCTGGACCGGACGTGGGAGTGTCGGCCGCACCTGAGACATGGCGCGCTTCAGGTCTTGTACGAAACCGGCCGGTGATGCTGCTGAGGCTTGGCTGCTGATGAAGAACTCGCCGGGAAGCCGCAGTGTGGTGTTGCCGGTATTGCTGCTGTTGCCTCTGCTGCTGCTGCTGCTGCTGTTGCTGCTGCTGTTGCTGCTGCTGCTGCTGCTGCTGCTGCTGCTGCTGCTGCTGTTGCCGCTGTTGCTGCTGCTGGACGGTCGAATGGTGCCTTGCTGGAGCATCTTGTTGAACTCGGCACGTGCGATTTGAAGGCGCTCCAGCGGGAGGCGTCGTGGCCGCTGGTACACCGGTGGACCCTTGGTGACGATGTGGTGCGTCACGTTGTGCTTCACCGGTGTCGGTCCAGGTTTTGGTGAGGTCACATCCGGGTACCGGGCGAGGACAGCTGCGAAGCGAGCAGCAGCCTGCTCCCGGACGAGACGCACTCCGATGGAGCACAGCCGTGACCGCTCGGCGCTGGCGCAGACGGTGCCGTCCCGCAGGAGACGCTGGTTGGCAACGTCCACGACGAGGTGATGTGCGGCCAGGAAGTCGGTGCCCAAGATGGGTGTGGTGACGTCAGTGACGAAGAATCGATGTTTCAGGCGGTGCTGCTGACTCAAGGTGACGTCCAGCAGGCAGGTGCCGTGCACCGCGATCGGTGAGCCGTTTGCCGCGACGAGCTGCTGGCCGACAGGAGCAGGGGTCAGTGCGGACCCGTTGGGCAGGCAGCGGCGAGGCAGCACGCTGACCTGCGCCCCGGTGTCGACTAGAAATTGCCGGTCCGTCTCCGTGTCCCTCACGAAGAGGAGTGGCGCGGCAGGAGGGGCGCCCGTGCTTTGCGCCATCAGCACGGGGCGCCTCAGTTTTCCGAGGCGATCCAGGAGCACGGCAGCTTGCATCGGCGCGCTTGGGCGCCGAATCGCTGGTGGTACCAACACAGCGTGTCGTCGTGTGGCGGCGTTGAAGGACGAGCCGGTGACGGGCGGCGTGACTGGCGAGACGCTTGGCGCGGCCGGGAACGGCTGCGTTCGCGTCGCACGGCGTCCTCGAGTCGTCGGTTGCTGGCCTCCAGGCGCTCCATCTTAGCGACCAGGGAGGCGATGACGGTGTCCAGCGCAGGGGTTGCAGCTGGCGCTGGGGCTGTCACTGCAGCAGCGATGGGCGGTGCCGGCTGTGTGTACGGCTGTGCCGCGATCGCTGATAGCCGTGGGTCGGGTCCGCTAGCTTCCAGGTACCGGTCGGCCGCTTCTGCCAGTGCGTCAAGCGTGCTGTCGGCTGGCAGGAGGGCGAGGGCAGCACGGACGGGCTGCGGTAGCCGTTGTTGAAATAGGGTACGGAAGAGCTCCGTATCAACCGGGGCGTCCCCGGCTGCGGCAAGCTCGTTGCGCATTGAGCGTAACAGCGCCGTCGGCTTCTGATCGCCGAGCTGCTGGCGGCCGAGCAGGGCTTGTAGTCGGTCGGCGCGTGACTGTGCCAGGCGGGCTTGGAGCGCTGCACACAGCACGTCAAAAGACCGAGATGACCGGATGACGTCCTTGACCTGGACGGCGATGTTGGCGGGGAGGTTTGCGACGAGGAGCTTAAACCTCAGCTCGTCGGAGTCGACCCCGCTGACGTCGAAAGCGCACTGCACCTGCAGTAGCCACAGGTCGGGCTCTTCCGGAGAGTATGGTGGTAGCCGGAAGCTAGCCATGGGCCGATGAGTTGACTCGGAGGCTGAAGCTGGAACGCTGGCTGGGTCTTGAGCTGCGGCGCCGGACTGTGCGCTGTCCGCCGGCATGACGAGAGGCTAAGGTCGAACAACGGAGATCACGTCGGGGTCACCAAATTGTCGTACTGCGCTGTGGGTAGCGCGTGGCTGGACGGACGGTCCGTGACAATCTATTGATCTGTGGCTGATCTATTAGAGTGTCCGTCCGAGAGCCGTACGACGGCTGACAGAGCCTGGGGGTCGCGAACTGGTGTGGTAATCGTTACGCCCACCTGGGACGCCCGAGTCGGTACGGCACTTGCGGTGTCGTAACCGGATCGGCGGGAACCAGCAGAACGCTGTTGGACCGGCGGTGAAAGTCGGAACCGAGCACTCGCCCACCAGTGGGCGTCTGGTCGAGCAGGTCTACCCGCTAAGGCAGCCTGAGCACGAACCAGTGGCAGGGTCCGATCAATGACCGTGGTCCGACCAGGGTGTCAGCGCAATGGCCAGTCAGAGGCGTCTTTAAGGGCGCAGAAGCCCACCTCGGTCGACTGTGGCCGGTGCAACCTAGTCAGGTCGTTTGTGTGAATCTCCGTGTTCTTCCCTCGCCTCAGAGTAGCCGCTCTTCTCCAAATGCCCGAGCCGTTTTCTATGTGTATTTGTCTTGTAGCGAACAGCAGAGTCGAGAAACGAATTGACAATGTCGCCGAAAGCCGCGGTCATATGCTGGCCGTCCCTAGTACTACCAATATGCCCGCAGGCGCGGCGAGAAACAAGCTCAACGTATGAGTCACCGTCCGGCTGCCGGAAGAGCCCCTACCGCGACCTTTGTTCACAGTCATGACGTCACGACAATGGGCTCCTAAACGTACGGGCAGCGGCCGCCTCAGGGGTGCCGCCGTGACCTTTGCACGACACGTTCTATAGCGTATGGCACAGCGGTTACTAGGAAGGTTGAGGCCAGCGGCTAACAGATTGATTAATAAAGCGGTGACAATATAAATGAAAATGACAACATGAAATGACAAATCGCATAGATGATCCCTACAGCAGACTTAGGCAGGCAGACCCTAGTTTTCAAATTGATCTTTTCACCTAACTACATCACTTTAATCATGCTCAGAAAACACGATGCATAACAAACATAATTACCTGACATGCGGTAAAGATAAGATAAGATAAGATAAGAGAAAATTACCCTGAGAGAAAATCACATTTTTCCTCACTACAGCAAGTACCGACAAATGCGTTGTCGCTTTCATCTATCAAATTTGCAGTAAAATAAGCTGCGCCATTATCTGAAGTACGCGCGCAGAAAATGCCTACCAAAGCGAAGCGGCAAAATTCAATTTTGATTTCAAAACAAACCGGTGACCCGCCGTGTCAGTGTGGAGAGAGTTCGGTTTGGAGTGTCTGATAATTCACTTTATTTCGAAATTCGATACCTACCACGCGATTTGATGAAAGTCACTTGGTGAGTTAATTATTTGAGTCTTCCTTCAATCTGTCTTCGCGTGCTAACTGCTATCCCATCCCACTGTTGTGATCCCACTGCCTGTTGTGTGACCAATGACCTAACGGCTAGTATGACGTTTTCGGTTCCTTTCTGCCCTTTCAGAGCAATTTGAAGCGCTGATTTCGAATTTTACATCCGTTTCTCGAACAGATGTATCCAAATGCGATCAATGAGATAGCATGTTCTCGGGGCAACCGAGGGATTCCGAGACGTGACGCCTTGATAATGATATAACTTATGAACTCGAAGCGAAAATCATGAGTCCTCGTGTTCACACACCTGGCCAGACTCAGATGAGGTCATACCATGTCCTCAGGGCACCTGAGGGATTCCGAGACGTGATGCCTTGATATAACAATAACTTATGAACTCGCAGCGAAAAGCAGAGCCCTTGTGTTCACATACCTGGCCAGACTCGGATGACGTAGAATGGGGAGAAGGGGGGTGAGTTGGAAATGATCCTGCTTGTTTTATGACACTTTGCAACAACATTAATAAGCGTTTTTAGCCTTCAAATTTCACCAAGTAAACAGGCTACCTATCTAGTAAACATTGCCTGAGGTGCCTCAAAATATTTCCGCTGCATGGGGCAAATAAAAAATAAATGAAATATTTTTTTTTAATACTTATCTCCAATTTTTTGCACACTGGTCACTGGTCAGCAATTCCATAAGGAGCATCATAGACTATAAAAAAACATTTTTTTGAACTGGCCACTTAACAAAATTGAAAATTAAATACATCAAATTTTGGAAATCGATATTTTGAAAAACAAACTATTTTTCAAATATTGCTTGGGATGTGGTGATTCAAACGACATATAATTTGTATACTCTAGTCTCTATGTTTAGTTGTATGGAAGAAATAAATGTTCAAAATAAAGCTGTTTTTTTACTTTGCAAAATTGCCCGAGGCTATAACTCAATCACCGTTACTTTGCCGGACCTGAAATCTTCAGAATGGGATTCTGCGCACAGAAGTACCCTATGCACTAATTTCCAAGTAAATCTGAGAGGGGCGGGTGTTACGCACCTGTTGAATCGTCCTGGAATGCCCCAGCTTACAGCTATCGTACGTCGCCAGCGGGCCAGACAGCTGATTTTATCCAGTTGTTGGTAAGGTAAGGTTGGTAAAGATTTTGTTCTCCTCCCCACATTTTTACTCCGGCACCTGAAATCTTCTAAATTTTCTAGCCTTTGTGATAAAAACTGCTATTATAACACCTAAAATACATATGCTGAAATAGCAATGAGAGTAAAACAAAATTTATCAGCTTTCACATTTCGTAGGCCAAACATATGATTTTACTGTTGCTTGTTGTAAAAGCTGGCTGGTCCTCCGGAACGATTTTATTCTCCGGAACCAGGATCAAAAGCAACAATAGCAAGGCTATATCAACCAGACAGATCGTCCCGGGGCCTTGGACGCTCTCCCATGTTTGGGCGTCTGAATAAGCTTTTTTTCACGGAAACCCAATACCTCAATACTCAATAAGCTTAGCGCGCTAGCGTCGTGTCGTGGAACAAGGCCGGGAAGTTTCGGGGTCACAAAAATCGCGGGAGCGGTGTGTTTGAGGCGGACGGGAGTCAGCGACGGCCGGGCAGCGAGGGCCGCTTGTCTGGTCACTGCTGGCACGCCGCGGAGTGGAGACAGCCGATTCGGTGCACGTGCTGGACCTAGCGGCCTCAGGGGCCTGCCCCCATCTGCCGGTGCACCGAAACGGCGTCCTCTCGGTCCTCCGCGGGGTTAGGGAGCGGCGGCGTGCTTCCGAGGAGTGGCTTGAATGGTGACTCAGACCAGTTGTCGCGCCATCGATGCGAGGCCGCACAATGAACCGCCCTGATCAGCGAGCGGGTGGTTGAGGGCAGGGTGGCCGCTTGGTTTGCCAGGTCGTCCGCGCTCTCATTCCCTCGATACCGCAGTGGGCAGGGAGGCAGGGACCCACTGCACTATTACCTACTTAACGACGCTCGGCGATGTTCAACAAGGTCTTCTATACCTATCTCCACGCTGAGGGTTGAGGCCTCACCTAGGTAGCCGCTCCGTTGTCACCTAGGTGGCCGCTCCGTTATTCTGAAACCAGGTTTTCGATTTTACCTAGATAGGTAGTTTGGTGCAAAAGGCCTCAGGTCAGGGAACCGGACAGGGCACAGGGCAGGGACGCAGTGGGTCAAATCAGCAGGGGCTACGTCCCAAGGCGAGGGGGCTGCGTCCCAAAATGGGACGCAGTAAGTGCCTTAAAATATGCACTGACACTCACAAACACTGAAATACAAGCAACTTTGTCACACTGAACATGAAAGTGGTGTCCGTGATCCCTGTTTATGCCCCTGAGGTCATCTCAGGTCATGAATGGTATCCATCAGTTTTCGCGAATAACTTTTGATAGAGGCACGCTAGAGCGATGAAAACGCCTTAGATGTGTTCAGCTCGACGATACGGATCGACCGATATGCAACATGACCATTAAGGATCAGGTCATGACCTTGACTTGAGGTCAAATTTTCAAGTTGACCGTTCACGGCCAATTATAGTTTATCCGATGCGTCTTGACGAGAGGAACACGATGTCGGTAACAGCAAGCTCTTGCAAGGCTTGGGTCAGAAGAAATTGCAGAAGAAAACTCCGAAAAAATCGGCTATTTTGGCAGTTTTTGCCCCCGCAGGCAAAACCGTTGACGCTAGGTCATATTTGAAAGCATTGCTCAGAAAGAGCGTTAATAGGGCTATCGAATGCGCTTTTCCGCGGCGCTGTAGCTCTATTGGTTCCCGAATTATGCGTTGGCTTCTGGGAAATTGTCCACATTCGACCTGAAAATCGGCGAAATGTTGCCTTCCATGACCTCTGGTGACCTGACCTTTGACCTGACAAAAAAGTAACCTAAGTATTTTCATTATTTTTGGCGCTCTTTCGAACGCCGCCTATCACAACGTGACCCAGGAGCTGAGTTAGAAGGGGGGGGGGGGTTCAAACATACCTCCCAGTAGGGCGTGGAAATCCAGAACCTCCAGCGGGGCGCGGGCTAAAGGATAACTGCGGTGATGACCATGCTCTTGACCTTTACCTGCCAATGGACACATTTCCTATTGTGGGAATCTACTTCTCCAGTGAGGTTACATTGCTTAGTAAAATAATCTTGACATTGCCTACTTTCACTGTGCTAAGTTAATATGATTTTTTTTATCATCACTTATTTTGTCACAGGTGCTGCACTGCTGGATGAAGATGGAAGGGAGCACAGTCACTCAGCCAGCATGTGGTATGTACCAACCAAACTGGCATGCAATCACTGAGCTTCAGAGGCGTGTTAATGTGTTGGCCGTATTTGCAACAGACATGTGCATGGATCCGAGTGCTGGATCTATGATCTCAGTGGATCTCGCAGTAAACCACAGACTAGGATCCATGATCCCACCGGATCCGGCGTGAAAAATTTATCCTGGATCTATGATCTCATAGGATCTGACGATAAATCAAGAACGTGGATCTGTGATCTGAGTAGATCCCGCCACGCAAAACATTTGGAACTAGGTTTACAAGTGTTTCTAAGCCAATTAGTGCCACAAAGCTATGGAGTATGACGTGCAATCACATAAAATTACTAAAACAGAATGTTTGTGAGCTGCAACAAGTGATTTTTTTCTGTGTTGACGAAAATAAGCGAGGACTATGATCTCAATGGATCCCAAGCTAAAAATTAGACTCGGATCTATGATCCCTACGGATCTCTCGACAAATCAAAGAGCTGGATCTATGATCCCGTCGGATCCTAGATCAGGATCCGTGGGATCAGATCCCAGATCCATTTTCTCGGATCCATGCACATTGCACAATGCACATGTCTGATTTGCAATATTGCAAATTCTGAGACCACTGGCCATTGCCAGCAGCAGCGGGGAGGTCGGCTTATTGCCAGTAACGGTGGTGTACAGTGTCCCAGGATTGACTGAATATTTGTTCGTCACATGCTATTATGCTCAATTCTTAGCCCGCGCAGGGGAGTGTGTACATTCCCCTGCGATTTCCCCCAGATAACTCAGACAGCTGCGCTTCCGCCACTGTTTTTGGTACACCTATGCATGCATCTTTTCCGCACATGTGAAAATTTCAGACCCAGATCGCTCAAGGTGAAGCCACCAGGTCACATCAAGTGACTGATATTGGTGATCTAAGGTCAGGTCAATTTTGCGACCTCTCCATTATATAAGTCAATGGGAGAATTGAAAGGTTCCTCTTGTGAACGAACGTCATTCTAAAAACTCTCAAACACTGAATTACAATTTAACATGACACACTGAACCGGAAAATGGCACCCGTGACCCCTCCTTATGTCCCTGAGGTCATCTCGGGTCATGACTGGTAGGCATCTAACTGTTTTTCGCATATACGTAACTCTTGATAGTTGATAGTAACTTTTGATATAGGTACCTACGTAACTCTTAAAGGAAAAGTGCCACCTCCGTGAAATATGAAGATATCGTTGCTTTTCATTTTGACATTATTATTTTTCATTTTCTTTTTAAATCTGGTGCCAGAAGTGCATAATTCGCAAAAAAGTATTTAACTATTTAACATATTGGTACTATGTTTGACGTTTGTACTCTCTACCGCACCTTCTGTATGATGTCATAGCGATGACGTCACACTCAAGCCAATCAGCCTTCAGAAGACAGACTCGTCGGATTGTGTCAGATAAGCTGATTGGTTAAAGCTGAGCTGATTGCAGCTGATTGGTTAAAAACCAAAGCCTAACCGCGGGTGGCTGTATTACAGGATAAGAACGCATTCTTGGGATAAGGACGCATTCCTGGCATATTTTCTTTTAAAATTGCCGATACCTACGAATGGAGGCCGAAATCGGCGGTAAGGAGGCTGACTCTCGGGGTTTTCGGACACGGGCTACAAGATGGCTATCTCAGTTTCAAACCCCATGTTGAAGGTGGCCCTTTTCCTTTAATAACTCTTGTTTTTTGCATCCACGTAACTCTTGATAGAGGCATGCTAGAGCGATGAAAGCGCCTTAGATGTGTTCAGTTCGACGATACGGATTGATTGATACCCGAGATGATCTTTTTCGGTCCGGTCATGACCTTGACCTGAGTTCAAATGGCCAAACTGACCTTTCAAGGTCAAATAATAGTTTATTCGATGCGTCTTGACGAGAGAAACACGATACCGTTAAAAGAAATTCGTGCAAGGCTCAACCCGCGCCCCGCAGCCCCGTTTCCGTTGATATCTCCTAAACGACTGCAGATGTCGTCACCAAACTTTCAGGACCCCTCCGGGCATCAATTTTACTCAAAGTGACCAATTTTTTCCAGAGGCAATGATAGGTTGGCTGCAAATGACGTCAGAATGACGTCATGTTCTGCCATTTTCTACCCAAAAAAGTTTCGCGGGAAGAGCTGCCAGGCCCACAGCTGTGAAGATAGAGAAAAATGTTCAAGACATAAAAGGTGTAGAATAAACCGGGCTATAAAATGCTATCTCGGATTTTTGAGATTTTTGGATTTTGAGCCAAAATAATCAAAAAAGTACCTATTTTTGGATGTATTTGCCCAAAAATCCAAAAAGTTGTTCGAATTTCGGGAAAACTCTTAAGTCGTAAGATATATGTGATAGTCCCTACCATTTTCTATCCACATAGGTACCAAATTTGAGATTGATACCTCTATTTTTAGCCAAGTTATAGCGAGAACACTTGAAAATGATGACGTCAAATTTTCCAGCTTAATTTTTTTAGCAATTCTAGACCACATGGCGTAAAACAAAGACCACCATTAGACTCCCCGTGCACAGTGATGCAAATGGGGTTCACGAGTGGCCATAAATACGAAAAAGGCCCAAAATTCAAGTTCACTTAATCGAATAAGTCGTAATATGGTCAGTCAGGCAAATGTTTGGGGTGTCTGAAAAAGTATGATTTTAATGTTATTGTCAAAACCGGCCTCGTGTAGGATTGTCAGAAGTCGAGACATTTTCGATGTCGTAAAATGACTGTCAGGTACTTGAAATTCAAGCGCCGCTAGCGTGCGTTCATGTCATACAAACTGCAAAAATTATACATGAAAATGACCCCCAAAACCTGCTGCTTCTAATGCCACGTCATAAAAAGCCGTATCTATTTTGGTTTGGCGGTGAGCTAACTATTTGTAATCATGTTGCAACCGCAGTTTTTTACCAAAAATATTTGCTTTCAATTCACCTACAGCACTTCACACAGTGTGTGCCCGTTAGTGCACCATATCATAGCATTCCCTAATCATTTCTGAGTCGCATCGTGAAAGAATTAAGGCGCTAGCACAGGGCTGACCGGCGCTACAGAAGTTTTCGTCCGGCACGGTCGGGTGCCGCGGCGCAGCGGGCGGCCCGGGCGGCCGCGCCGCCGCGCCGCCCGGACGCCGCGCGGCGGCACCCACCCGCCCACTGCGCTCCCACTGCGGCACCCGACCGCCCGGACAAAAACCTCTGTAGCGCCGGTCAGCCCTGTGCTAGCGCCTTAATTCTTTCACGATGCGACTCAGAAATGATTAGGGAAGGCTATGGTATGGTGGACTAACGGGCACACACTGTGTTAAGTGCTGTAGATGAAACGAAAGCATTTTTTTCTTAGTAAAAAACTGCGATTGCAACATGATGATAAATAGTCAGATTACCGCCAAAGCGAATGAGATACGGCTTTTTGTGACCCGGCATTAGAAGCAGAAGGCTTTGGGGATCATTCTCATGCATAATTTTTTCAATTTGTACGAAATGAACGCAAACCAGCGGCGTTTGAACTTGCGAGTGTCTGACCGTCATTTTACGACCTAGAAAATGTCACGACTTCTGACGATTATACACGAGGCCGGTTTTGACAAAAACATGAAAACCATGTGATTTCAGATGCCCCAAACATTTGTCTACACGGCCATATCGCAATTAACTCGATTTGGTAAACTTGACTTTTGGGTATTTATGGCCACTCGTGAACCCCATTTGCATCACTGTGCCGTGGCGAGCTGCATTGAATCGGTACCCATTTCATGCAGAAATATCAACTTTGAAATTTGACCTAATTTGACCTGACTTCCACCTGACCTTCACCAGAACATAACCTAAACTGGCCTCAAATGTTGCCTGACCCACATAATCGCATTTGTCAAGTAAAATGGACCCTAAAACGTGTATCACACGACACTTCCGTATTGTGACCCGCAGTGACCTGACATCTGTGTCCTGTGACCTGACCTGTTATCATTGACCCCAAATAGCAAAACATGTGTTTTACGGACAATTCTTCCATCGATGATTTTCAATAGCATGCCTTTTACTCGATTTTACAACACATTTTCTGAAATGCCTGTAAATGGTGAAAATTCGACATTTGACCTGACCTGTGACGTCATCGGTTGGAATGAGGTCAATGAAATTGGGTCACAAGGTAGTTCCGTGGTAGGGCTATCCAACGCCGTTTGAATTTTGAAAATCGGCCGGTAACTTTCCTAGATCTAAGACTAGAGGGGGGGGGGGGTGCCGAAACGCCCCCCCCCCTAGCCATACGGGGCGCGAGTTAAGGCAGAAGCTATTGCAGAAAAAAAACTTCGGCAAAAATGGTCTATTTTGGCCGTTTTAGCCCCCTCCAGGCAATACCGTTGACCGTAGGTCAGACCTGATATAAACATTCAGAAAGACCGTGAATAGGGCTATGGAATGCGCTTTTCCGGGGCGCTGCAGCTCTATTGGTTTCCGAGTTATGTGCCGGTTTGTTGAAAATTGGCGACATTGGACCTGAAAATTGGCGAAATTTGGCCTTCAGTGACCTCTAGTGACCTAACTATAAAAAAGACAAAAAGTAATTTCGTCATGTTTTTTGACGCTCTTTCGGGCGCTGACTAACCCGTAGGTATTGCTGCGTGGCCCAGGAGAAGCAAAAAAAGTGAATGCCTCATTTTCCGTAAAAACAACATTCTATCAGGAAAGGAGCAGCTTTATTAATTGTGTGAGCTTATGAGACCTGACCAGTGACTACCGTAAGCATTAATCACATTCAGAAATGTAATGGAGTTTTATGCTCTACTAAAAAGTTGCAGATTCCAAAATGTGTAAAGGTCCGTTCCTGCCACGATGTCTCTTGATCGGCTCCGGTTGCGTAGCGCTGCCTAACTTGGAGCTCAAGTTTGCGTGATAAAAGTAAGCGATAAATTAAACGGCACTGGTCAGGATCTGTCCAGTAGTCGGCGCGAATACATCTCAGCTTCACCACAGAGTCGCGACACC